ATTAAAGCAACTCAGTAGCAATCGGAATCACCGTATTATGCTTTAAGAGATCAGCGAAATGTTGCATACATTCATGGTAGATATCACAGTCTGATAATTGTAGTGTTTGGAGTGTCTGTGTATTGAGAAGAAAATTAATATGAAATCAATGAAAAACAAAAGCGCGAGCATCACTGTATTGTTGCTTAGAGAATCAGTGAGAAATTTTGCTGCGCTCTCGTCAAAATAATTTTTTTGGATGTTCAATGTTGTAAGTGTCTATTTAAAGTTTAACAGATGATTCTTAGAGATAAGAAATGAAAAAGACAATCACTGTGTTAGTTTTCAAGGCATCTGCAAGACTTTTTATCCCATCGCTTTCGACCTCATTTCGTGCAATGATCAGTGTAGTTAATGTCTGTGTGCGTAAAAGAAAATGAATATCATGAAGGCAAGCAGTATTTGAGAACTACTTTGTTTTCTTTCATAGCACAGGCGAGACATTCTACACCCATATTTCTGATTTGATTTCCTTGAATATCCAAAACCTTGAGTGCCTATATATTTCGAAAAGAATTCGAATGACACGATCATGACAAAAGAAAATTAGCACTATACTGTATTAGTTTTTAATGCATCAGCAAGACATTGTGCTCCATGTATTCCGATTTTATCCGAACAAACTCGCAAAGTTCTGAGTATCTATATGCATGAAATAACATATAGTACTTAGTGAAATAACGAGATTGCTAGTCACTGTATTCATTTTCAAGGCTTCAGCGAGATATTTTGCTCCTGTACATCCAAGATTACTATTCAATAGCTCTAATCTCGTGAGTGTCTATATGTACAATAGGATATGAAAAAAGATGAAACAAATTGAGTGAGAATGAGAATCACAGTGTTGCTTCGTAAGATGTCGGCAAGATATTGTCCTTCAGAAGAATCAATACGACAGTATCCTCTTTTATCAGCTATAATGAGAGTTTTTAGTGTCTAAGTGTAGAAGAGAAGACCAAAATGGAATAAAATGGTTAAAAAAGAAGTGGAAATTACACTGTTATCTAGAAGGGCATTAGCAAGATGTTGTACGATTTTTGTTTTAGTGAGTTCATTTTCTATGGTTAGCGCAATGAGTGTCTGCAGCAAAGAAGAAATCGTTTATGATAGAAATTAGGAAAGAGAACAACTCATACAGTATTTTTTGTCAATACTTCAGCGATGTATTGCGCGCCTGTTTCTCCAAATGTATTGATGTTGAATTCTAATGTAGTGAGTGCCTGCGTGCCAAAAAACAAGCAAAATAAGAGATGTTTTTGTTTTCAACTTAAGGTTTCTGGACTCGTGAATGATGATGTGGATACTGAGAAGACTAGCACTCGACACCTACACACCATTTCACAGTTGAATTTATATCAATAAACATACTTCGCCCTTTGTTGGATCGATCCTATCGTGTATGGATCGTTTAGTGATACGACTAACATCATCCATTGTTGATAATTCCCATCGAGCCCAATATGTGTCACGTATTTCACTGATTGGCATTGTATAGAGCCAGATGCCCTGATAACTTGAAATAAACGCACAATTTACAAACCAGTGCTTATCTTTCTTCCAAAATTGTGTTTTAAAAGGTGTAATCAGTGACTGTAGACTAGAATTTTTAGCACTTTCTCGTATAGAGATAATAAAGAAAAATTCAAATTTTTCCAAAGAAGGTATGATGCTACTAATCATCTTCTCCCAATATTGACCATCCACTATCGAATCCTTTTGTTCTTTATGTTCAGAAACTAATTTCAAAGCAATAATAGACGGTATTACTGAAACCATTGATTCAATTTTCCGTGGGTACAGTGCACAATCAGTAAGTGTTAAAGAGTGCAATGATGAATTACATGTAAGGTTCAAATTTACTGTAGTCGCATGATCACTGCCATCGAAATTGCAGTCTTGCATTCGTAATGTGCGCAAATGAGTTGAATAATTCAAAATAGTTATATAATCTCTGTATGAACATACTGGAATCTCCAAGTGTTGTAATCTATTTTGATCTGACCATGTTATAGTACCTTTAATCTTATTCGTGGGATAAGTTAAATATAATTTTTTAAGTTTGTATTTCATGATTGCAGATGAAATCAGAGAAAATCTTCTACTGCAATCGTTGCTACCAATCACAATTGAAAGTGATTCAAGCGTATCAAGAGTCATTCCCTGAAACAAGTATTCTATTCCTTTATAATTGATATCTTGAAGTTTAACTGAACGAAGTCTTGGAAATTGACAAATGTAATCAGATAATTGACATAGCGCAGCCCTCTGCAGATATGTACCATCATGCTTGATATTCACAATTGCAACATTTTCCGGATGAATAATTTTATGAAATGAATTTGAATTTGATGTTGAATTCACATAGAAGTCAACTTCAAATCGATCATAATTGTTGACAATTGAATATAAACGTTTACAGGTCAAGCAAATTGAGAAAAGAAGACTTTTAGTGTTGCAATGATCGATAATACGATAGATCAATTCGGTAGGAAGCGTAACTAGAGTTGCATTTTTCGTGGTCATTACTACTAGAATTAATACAGTGAAATGTTGTGGCTTATTATTAGCAGTCATCTAAACTAGACTATGTGCCGAAACGATGGTTGTATGTACATTCAGTGTGAGAACATATTTTTGATACTTCGTAGAGATGTGACCGTTCAGTTTTAATTCAGATCTCCTGATCTGTTCAGACATTTCTCATGATCTGATCTGTTCGAACAGTTCTTTCGCTCATTTGATCTGTTCTTTGATCTGTGAGCTGTCACACCTCTAATAATTCGAAGAAAATTCTCTAAATCTATAAATAGACTTATCTGTCTCTTGAAAATTTTTATGCAAGAAAGTAAACGATCGGTAGTTTACAATGTAATGGATGCTGTCAAGAGGTGCTTATACAATGATTTTCCCATGTAATGTAATTGCTATCAAAGATGTGCTTTAATGAAGCAATAGTTAAGCCCGAAAGCTTCTAATTTATGAAGATCGTGAATAGTTCATTCATGACATAAATATGGATTTCAGTTTCAGCTTATAACAATAGCGGAAAATGAGATTACTCTTTTAGATGCATGCTATCCTATGTATAGGGAATTTTCTAAACAGGAAAGAAAATTTCTTGAGCTTTTAATACTTCACCTGAATAAATTCAGAATCTATGATTGAGATGGAATAATTTGTGTTGTATATCAAACTTGTTTTAAATCGTCACAGTTGTAACTATGTATCTAATTGAAATCTGAAATGAAATATTGTTCCAATATTATTAATAACATTATTCCAGTATGCTTAAAAAAACAAGGTTTATTTCGGAAATGGTATACATTTACAGTAGATGCGTATCGATTGTCTATAAATATTCAACTTTTTCTGATCTTTTGAGAGAAAAATGTATTTGTTTTGTATGTTTATGCAAACATGTCAGCACTTGTGCAAACCTTCATAAAGAGTGCACAATGATATTTTCTTGATGATGTCACCGTTACGATTGCAGTCTAAACGAAAAAAAACAACAATGGAAATAGCGCTTGGGCTTCGCTTGATTTATATGACATAAAAATGACGATTTTAACAACGAAGTTGGGTAATGTGTTGACAGTCGATCATTCTAATGCTTATGACTCCTTTCAAATTCAGGAATACAAGTTCAAGTTTGCGGTACTAGAAGATGCTTGGCTTCTCAAGTGAGAATTCAAAATACTAAGTTCGGTGAAATAAATTCTTTCTAAATACAAAAACCAGTTGACGAAGAGAAATATATTTAATTTGGAGACTTATAAGTAAGTCGAGGAGTATGATGCAATTAACTTACATCATGTCAATATTATGAAATACTTCCTGATGATGAAATGGCTTAGGAATTTTATAGGTTGTTTTCTATCTCGATTTCAATGATGTGAATGCGGATAAAATCAAAGACAAGTTTAATCACCAAGAGAGTTAAAAATAGGTATTTTGAATTCAAGTTTTAATGAACAAAATATCCAACACGTGTTTCACAAAAAACAACAATAAAGATGCTAAGCGGCAGATTCGAACTATGCTTCTCAAAAGCGAGACATGCCTCATTGTAATGTGTGCACGTGGATTGGCTTTCATTTTGGCCGATTAAACTTCTTTCTCTGAGGTATTGCATCAGAAAAGTACAATTTTATATATGATCAATGATTGGCACTTTTTCCATTCTGCCAATTTCTCAATGTTGTTGACTGAGTCATTGAATGATGCAGAGAAAAATGAAATTTCCAATGTGAAACGTTTATAAATCATGTAAAATAATCTGACTATTTCTTTTAGATCATACGCCTTGCACTGTTGTAATTTTAACAATATACATTTGTCATGATGTTAAGAAGTACAGAAAAAGAGTTATTGCTAACCAACGCAAATCAGTTGGAAGTGTCCGATGAACGTAAATGCGCTCAACGTCATCAATACAGCAGACCGACCATTCAAACAAAAAAACTTAGGAAACTCAATTCAGCACATACAACATTGGGTAAGTTAGATCTATTTTAATCACCTGCTCATTTGCAAGAAAGAGCTGACATATCAACAGTAAATCATTTTTCTTGTTATGATCTTAAACAGGACGTAGTCGAGTACCAGGACGAGCATGGAAACGACAAGAATTGGAAAATGATCATCGTCATTTTACAGTGAATGCACTTAAACAAAGTAATAACTGTACGAATCCTAGCGTTCCGTTTCGCTTCAACACTGACAAGCCGATCAAAGATCTGATAGAGGATGCCATCAATAACAGTGATCCTAATTATCTTGATGCCATTTTAACACATATATATGTACCTTACAATCGAAAACATAATTGACCAGATGAAAGTCGTTTAATTAAAGAACGACAACAACACACATTACTTACTCGTCTCATTTATCATGGACATTCGGAATGCGTTCAAGTGGTGCTCGAGAAAATCTTTAGCGGTAAAATCTATCCAACAATGGTGGATCATGTTTGTTCTACTGGTAGAACAGCGCTTTGGTATGCATGTAAAAATGGTGATCTCAATCTGGCGAGACAGCTCATTGAACGTGGTCATGCGCATATCTCAAAGTGTGGAGTTTTGATAGTTGCTGCTCAAAATGGTCACGCAAACATTGTTGAATATCTCTTAAGTATGGGTTGTGATCCAAATCGACAGGCTAGAAACTACAATAAGACAGCCTTACATGCAGCTTCTCGTCGTAATCATCTTGCTATACTCAATTTACTTCTCAAACATGGCGCTAATTCAGCTGCACTCGATTATAAAAAAAGAACTCCTCTTGAATATGCCATTCACAAAAGACACATCGAAATTGCCAAAGCACTTATTTATCATCAAAATGGACATTTTGACAAAAATCAATTTGGTTTCACACCATTAATGATGGCTATGAACTTTAATAAAACACAAATAGTAGATATACTGATGGATACATTACCTCGACAGCAAGTTCTCAATGAATTAGCACTCTTGGCTTGTAAATATACAATTGAGGGTTATGCGAGCAGACAACACCAAGCTTATTCCTATTTTGAAAACCTGTTGAGTATGACGACACCAGTGTGTAATAATGCAACTTGTGAAGCATATGAGTCTTTTAGCGAATGTCGGACACTCAATGAACTAGCTGCCATAAGTCACGATAATAATGCAATGCGAATGCATGTCCTACTCGTCAGCGAACGGCTTTCACTAACAAGTAGTGATCTTGCTTTTCATCTACGATTAATTGCCAAACAAAGTGACGTCTACAGACGTCGTCGTCTCTTACATCGTTGTCTTCAATTACGATTGCATGCTTATAAATTGGAAAGTCAGATAAGACACAATAATTGCCATGATCGTAAATGGCAGAAAAGTTATCTTTCTGAGCTGCTAAAGATTTTATTCGAAATACTACATAGAGAAGATACGATGTTTACCAGATCTATAAAGCTTGTTTGGACATGGATACTCGACAGAGAAGACGAACAACTACACAATAAAGCGTTCGATCTCACAGTTGTCGTTACTTATGTAAGTATTTTCTTATTTGAATGAGTAACGTAATTTTGGACGTTTGCATATGTAGTTCACTCAATAAGCGGACTACAAGAAGAATACAGTACATTATGTATTTTGACTAACTTTGATAAAGTTCGGTATTGTGCACAACTTCATGTCAGATTGTTTTCTATTCTATCTAATTCCATAGTATATGGAAACCATGAAACTTAGCTATGTAGAACATCGAAATGAAATTTTTCTCATTGTATTTTTAGCTTATTGAATCAAGAAAAGTAAATGATGATGAGCTACGCATCTTATACGGGCTCATAAGACGAACGTTACGTCAAAGCAATACCATGACAAACAGGAATTCTTTTCTTAGAGCATGCATCAGTGATGTCGTAGATGGTGAGCGTTCATATGAAGTTGCCCCGGAAAGGTATTGTTTTCTCAAATCTTCAATTGTGCGGTTAGTTTCAAAACGAAAAAAAAATCTGTTTATTTTAGCGTATCAATTGTGTCGGTTATTCGCGTGTTGATTGAAGCTGGAGCAAATGTAGATGCAGTTGACCCGCATACCAAATACACGCCACTGCATCTGATCGCTCAATGCGACGACGAAGATGTTGCAAGACAAGTCATTGAACTTCTTCTTAATGCAGGCGCTCACATTGATTATATTGATTACCAAAACTGCACACCGGAAGAGAAAGCACGTTCACCTGCAATGAAAGAACTTTTAAGGGCCACTCGAAAACTTTCACTAAAATGCCGATGTGCTCAACTCATAAATTCAGCAAACATATACTATGAAAAATACCTTCTGCCACATCTTGCTGCGTTTGTTCAAGGGCATTTTCTAGACAAAGGTGTCAGAAAGAACAGTGGGTGCTTGTACGGTAAGTAAATCTAAATGCAACAACAACCAATGTTAATTTCATATTCTTTTATTTTCCATTACTGCCGAACAAGATCGCCATGGGAAAAAATATGGATTATATTATAATTATTATGATATTACTCCAGCGATGATACCTGTCTCAAAAACTTGAGGTATGTTCAGATTTCCGAATAAGAAAATTTCCGAAAATTACAAAATTTCTCTGATACTGTATCAAGACATTCAAAAGCATCAAGAGAAATTCCATAGCAATTTCCATAATTACCAAAATGTGAGAAAGTAATTCTTAGGAAATTTCCCGGAAATTTCTATAATTTCCTTTATTTATACCATATAGATATGTTAAGATTAATATAGATTTAGGGAACCCTACCCACAAAACGTAGCAGAATTTTTGGCAATTTCGGTAATTACCTGAAAATTACAGTAATTACGGAAATTTCTATAATTTCTTTATTTATGCTATATAGATATGATCATATACGTAATGCTTGAAACTTAAATTCACTTATTGGACTTTTGAAGTTTCAAAGTGTTCAAGCATTCAAGTGTTCAAAAATTGCTATTTTCAGTAGTCAAGGAATGAAGAGTTGTAAAACGAAATTCAGAACTATCCAATAGCTGCAAATTTTGAGTATTTAAGTATCCACTGAATCGCTCAAATGCGAACCCCGAAAAATACACACTTTGAGTCGCGCAGTTTTGGTGGGTAGGGTTCCCTAAATCTATATTAATCTTAACATATCTATATGGTATAAATAAAGGAAATTATAGAANAATCTCTACGAGATATTGGTGAAGTGACTTCGAATATTAAATCTTCTCGTTTGTTTTCTTCATATATTCTTACAGAACTCCTAATCTCCATAAAATTTCTATGTTATATGAATACAATCTAATCTTGAAAGGCGTTTCTGTGGTCTGTACTCATGAAAAAGTTTTTCAGCTTTTAAAAATCTATTCTAACAGAAACTTCAATTGAGTTTAGAGTGTTTTCATATAAAGTTACATATTTACAAGATCAATTTTTTGTTCATAACAGCGAATTTACAGGTGAAGGTTTTATTGATGGTTAGTTTCCTGCTTGTTAACTGCTTTGCTCAGCCTTTTCTCTCTCTAGTTTGCTGCAATGAATATCATGCATTTTTTCTTTTTTGAAACTTTTATATTTTTTTATATTTAATCATCATTTTTTATATGCTTCAACATTCTCAATAAATAGTTTAGATGAAAATAAGGCAAAGATATGTGAATTTATCTAGATGATTGTTTTGTGGCCAAGTGCAGATATAGAATGCTATCAATGATTTCGGAACGGAAGACACGTATATGCGTCCAGAATGTTTTCTTCAAAATAGACGAGAAATATATATGTTCAATAGTGAACGATCAGTTGATATGCATAAAACCATAGGCTATGTGACAAGTCTTTACTGTTGAATCGTTTCCTTCACAAATTATTTATATTCAGGCATTGAAAAATCAATTGATTTAATCAACTTTCTCGTCTTATCATTGTCCGAAAAAAATAATCCTGCCCCGAAAGGATTAAATATTGGTCTCTCGTATCTTTTAACTCTTATTAAGAGCGATATCTGTCATATATATGCATATATGTGATAGAGATAGACGATTCTTCTTCTTCTTCTTCTTTCGCTTCTATCTCTCTTCAACATATACAGTTAAATTATGACAGTCAGAGATATTGCTTTGGTTTATGCCAAAAGAGACGACAAAAAACATTAATTCAGCTATTGAACGGCATGAAATGTGTGTAACAGTATCATTAAAGGATAAACGTCAACAACCTTCTTGCTCTATAGAATTGAAAAAATATCGATTATTTCTGTGATATCGACAATGAATTGTTGCTAAAGAGTTTCTTACGAGCACTTATATCTCGTAAAAAACTCATTTGGAATGCAGATGAAGTGCATTCAATTTATGAAGGAGATCAAAAAAACATATACTAATATGATTACTTGCTCGTGTTATAAGATAGCTAACTTATACAAAAATTCTGACAAAGCTAATGAGTACTATAAGAAATCTATTTTATTATATCTAAAATGTGAATTAGAGCACCTTCTTCATCACAGTAAATCAGTTAACTTATTTTAAATCAAAACATATTTTGACATTGAACAAGAATCGGATATCAATTATTGGAAATGTCATTATTTAAGCGAAGACATCCCGGTGTTTTGAAAAACTTTACAGCTAGACAATGTAACAGATAACACTACCGATCCACTTAGTCTCACAGTTACTGTTCGAACGGAATTTGAGCTAACTCCAGAAAATGATGACATTCATCTTGATGTATACGATTACAGTGTATATTCTTCAAATATATTCTCGTTACAATAAGACGGATCTACAGATTATTTAGAATCCTTTATCCATTATCACCAACCTGAAAAAAATGAAACGCGTCCGATGTATGATAAATACTCTTGGGAAGTCAGTCTTGCGCTTATGCCAATAATCAGAGATAAGGGTTATTAGTACTCGCTACCAGTCGATTCTGTACAGGACAAAGTGATCAGTAGTGCCCTGCTTGACTGTGATATAAATCTCAAAAGTAACATGACCGTGACTGTATTCTTAGTTTTACTCACAGACGAGAAACCAGAGCTTGTTCTCCTTGTTTTTGACTTGATCAAAACTTATCACAAACACAACAAAGATAGAGATGTTTCGTACTGAGAAAAAACAATTTTCACTATTGTTTCAACAACATAATCTCTTATTCATTGTTGAATTTGGATTCAACGGAGTTTTTATTTGATTAAAGAATATACTTCATACTGTTTTCTTTAGAGCCTCGTCAACTTTACTGACGTGTATTAGAGTTCTAAGTATTGTTTGCTTTTCTCTCTTTAATTGATGTTGATCGAATAAAAGGCAAAAAAGCGTAGAAAAACTTAATAGACCGAGATAAATAATGAATTGTTAATAGTTTTGTTTCTATGGATCTTATGATGAATTCTTTTCTCGTAACAACAGATGATTCGACCCGATTCATAAACAAAACCATGAACAGAAAATAACTGTTTTGCGAAGTTATCAAGCCTTATTTTTCAGCAACAAAAATCTAGAGTCAAACTTTTAATACAAAGTCTAAAGAACAAAAAATGTTTTCAAGAACTTTAAAGAATACATTTTTTTCTAAGAAATAAGATTCATGACTACGCTCTTGAAATACCGTTAGAGAAAATTCTTTTTTAACCATTCTAAACGAGAATTTGCTTGACAAAGCATGAACATCTTGTTTAGAATCTTGCATTTTACAATTCAGATCATCGCTGCACAATTTTTTGATATATAAACAGTGAGAAAATCAACGTGCATGCTCATTAAAACGTAGTGCTCAGCAAGATGTTGCAGTATAGAGAATGAAGATGAGATCGAACATGCTATTATAGCGACTTCAATGCCACTCAAAAGAAATCATCAACTGGTTTTAATCTTTTCAAATTTTTCTCTATGAGAGTGTGCATGCCTATGATAGTATTCTTCTTTCTCACACCCACATCCATCCTCAGAATGCAGCTGTTATCATTTGTTTCATGACTTCACAGTATCAAAGTAATCATTTTTCTCAAAAAGGATTAAAATATACTGTTAATCAAAACAAATCTATTATATTCCTGTTTAATGACAACAAAATGATTAGTTTGGTTAAGTTACAACTGATCCCATATGACTCGATTTTCATCATGTTCCAGAAACAAACAATAACAATAGTTAACAAATTTTTTTTTTGATATTTTCACTGAAGATATATTTAAATTTAGCTAAGAATAACTTGTAGATTTATCATAATGAATTGTTTTACTAGTATTAATGATTTAATTTTTGTTTTCTAGTTGTTTCGATAATCAATAAAAATATAGTAGAAGCTAAAAAAAAAATTTATGATATTATTTAGACGATGTTTCATTTTGGAATAAATGAGCAATTTAGAATTGGATGTCGAAATTTGCATAAAAAGAACAAGAGTTAAATATGAATGCCATATCTGAAAAGATTGTTTTTTGAGACATTTCGATTGCTGACCAACGCCCTCTTTTCTCACTTAACATATTTTTCTTTCCTTATTGTTGGCTTTTCGTAATATCAATCTCATAAACGAAAATTTTACCTTCATACATAGAATTGTTAGTTCTCTCTCATTCATCTTATTGATTTTCAATAGTCTTGATGAACAGACAATTATTCTTTCACTTCGTTATGTATGCAAACGATTCTATACGATTGTAAATGTTTACGATCATTATAAACTTAATTTTGAATCAATATTAAAATCGAACTTTGATCATATTTATCGATCTATTCAACGAGAAAATGTGATTTCACTTACACTTTCTGATGAACATATGACACCAGGTCATATTCAATTATTTTTTTCATTATTTCATATTGAAAGTTTTACGTGACTTTGTTCATTGACACTTATTGATATTGAAGAACGTTATTTGAAACGAATTCTTAAACATGTTACTACTTGTACACTTATTTCATTGTCAATTAAACAGAAAGATATCTACAATCGTTCAAAAATAACTAATCGTCTTCTTTCGACAATTCTTGAACAACATAGTCTTCAAAAACTGACAATGAATGTAATAGAAGATGATACTGATCTATTATGTTGGCCAATACAATGTACAATACAACATTTAACGTTATTGGACTGTTATTCAAACCATTTTTCGATTATTTTTCATCATTTTTCTTGTCTACGTACATTATTTATTAATTATTGTAATTTAATCGATTATGATGAACCAAGTATTAAAATCTCTAATCTCGTACCAATGCAACAATTAATTTCACTCACAATGAAAAATGGTAGTTTAGATATGGATAAAATTAAAATAATTCTTTCAAATACATCTCCATTAATACATCTTCGATTGATTGGTGAAGTAGATCGAATCGATTTCCCATGGGAACAATTTATTAAAACAAAATTACCAATGTTAAATAAATTTGAATTTGTTTTTAATAAGAAAGTCGATATTGATTATCGTTCAATCAATGTTCGATGATTGATTACTTCATTTCGAACAGTATTCTAGCTTAAAATCAAACATTGGTTTGTTACATGCGATCTTATTCGACATGTACCACGTGATTTTCGATATCAAGATGATGAAATACGGCTCTATTCGATACCTTTTATTGGTCGTCATTTTGAATATCGTCCAGATTCGAATAGAATTACATTTTCGACTTTGACTGAAATGAATAATGATATAACAATGATAGATTATGTAAATAGTGTTTATTTAGAAACAAAAGAAATAATGACTGCAATTATCAAAAAACAGGTAAAACAAGAAAAAGAATGATAAGTACTCGAAAAAAAAATTAGACAAGTAATCCTATCTTTCAGCATGAGTTTTTTATGAATTGGATACACATCTCAGTAACTAACAAATATATGTGAGTCTACAATTCCATAATATACGACTCCATATCTATTTCCATCTTTTTTACAGAAAAGTTTAGTTGTTAGTGAAAATATTCATTAATGAATTGATTCGTTTTGTTATTTGACTCCGAAGAACACAACCTAACGTATCTTCTGCTTAACTAAAGCAATAATAGACAGTATATGCAAAAAATAATTTGAACACTTACTTTGCCTGTCTGACAGAACAAAAAAAATCAAATCTAAAGTTTAATTAAACGTATTGAAAACTAACAAATAACTTCTTTTATAGTTTATATTTTCTACCGAGATATTCATAAAATTTTCGAAGTATAAAACTCATTTGGACTTGTTTACTTTTTACTCAATAACACCATTGTTTCTTATCAAAATATTTCATTTGAAAGAGAAAACTATTTCTCTACGTGAAGATATAGTTATAAATGACAAATTCAAATTGGAACATGAACATTCCGAAATATGGAAAATCGTGACTTTAGCTCTCGATCGATGAATGCCATTGAATGCAAAATTCTTTTTGTAGTGTACGCATTTTTATTGTTTTAGCTAGTATTATTCACCATGCAAATTCAAGTTCCTTCATTATTGTTTCACACGACTGCAACTGTGAATGTTCGACTCTGACTTCGGAAGTTAGTTTCTGTTTATTTGATACTTCAAACGAAACTACAGACTATCTTGTTGATAGTGAAGGTCTTGGCGAGACGTTCATCGTAGCAGATTATGTGGAACCAATATTAGTTGATTCTATTCAAAATAATAAATTAGAATGACAATAATAAAACTGAAATTTAGACAACTATTCATTCATTCATTGTATATCGACAAAAATATTATGAACACTCCATAGATATTTTTCTTTCTGCATTTCAAAAGAGAGAGGGTGGGACGTACTGTGGTCGAGAAACGAGGTGGAGAGGCTGATTCTTAACTATTTTTTGTCAAAATAGAAATCATTTTTCGAAAATAGCGAAATAATGTGGAGATTTTGATGTTTTTATCGAAATTATTTCATCTTTTCAAGTTTTTCGACTTTTATAATCAAATATTACTTCTTGAAATATGTCCAATAGATAGCAACTCATTGTTCCAACAAGATTCCATATAGAAATAAACTGTCTAATTCAGCTTTTTCTTCTTCTGTGGAATGAGGTTTATCAAGTTGAGTTTTTATTTTTCATTGTAACCATGTCGTTTTGTGGAGCACATTTAATCCTACCCAATAGACCCAAGTGCATATTTTTGAGCTTAGGTATCATACTCCAAGAAAGTTTGTGCGCAAGGAATTTCTCTTTTAAACCTGTGCTTAAATAAGTATTTAACTCACGAACATTCACTAGAGCACTCACTTACAACTTTATACTTTAGCGGGAAAAATGAATTCTATAGCTCCTCACAAAAAAGGACGATTGATGTATACTACGTAGAGTTTTCGATTAGTGGGGACGGCTTTTTTCAGTGAAGAAAGCCTTTCAACTTTGTGCCAAACTTTGATCTTCGTTCGTTTCTAAAACCGATTGGATATTCTTTATAGAGTTTTAATGATCTTTTCTTTAAAAATAGAATACATAATCTGTAAAGCGGCTATTTCGCCAAGTATCTGATCTCGATATTCGAATTGATAATAGTTGGTCAATTGATTGTGTTTATCTGATCTCGACACTAATTGAATTATCACAACTCAAAAAGCTTCAATTAGTTGACAAATTTCCTCAAGATTCCCCTAAAATCATGGCAAAAACTTTTTTTAAAATATTAAAACAAGCATGCAATGTTCGTTCACTCATTATTATTATTCCTTGGCTTGCTAAAACTGATGTCAAGGTAATAGATCAGTTATGCTCCATAATTCCTAGTCATATTAAACATCTGGAAATTGATGTTACATCAATGAACAATATGAAAACCATACTAGAACGACTTGATAATATGTCAAGTGTCACATTTCGATTTTTTAATGGTAAATTCACTTGACCGACATCAATCATTAAATGGCTTTCAGATGAAAGAGATTTAACATATTGCAAACAATCCTATGAACTATACATATGGCTTGGAACGAAAAAGACAAATGTATCACAGCAACATAAAACTGATTGTAAACGTGTCAAACTAACTGATCACTATACGAATTCATGATTTGTTTTATTGTATACAATGTTAGGTATAGATTATTGATGTATTTAAAAAGATTTTTTTTCTTCTTATTATACAATAAAAAGGCTTTCAATTCATTTTATATTGAATGAAACATATTGGAGAAAAATATTATTTGACGATGAAAGATTATCAATTGTGGAATGTTTGTTTTGGATGTGGGTATAGATAAAGAAAAAATTAGTGCTAGTACCGACACTTGTACTCACCTACATTATGTGTGCTAGAGTTGGCAAAGGTAAGGTCTAGTTCATTGTCATTGTTGAAATCACCAGCTACCATTGAGTTTAGAGAAGAATCATAGTCTATTGAACACATGATTGGACTTGACAAATTCTCAGTTACATATCCGAATGTACACTAATACTGTTGGCTAGCATAGTTAGCAGTAACAAAATCGAATAGTGTATCATTTTTGAAATCACCAACTTTGACCATAGACGGAGAAGATCCACCATCGGTTGAATACGTGAAATTAATAAAAAAACTACTTGATTAAATTTTCTTTTTAATGCTGATAAATCTTTTTTGAGATGAATAACAAATATCTAAACCAGGTGATAATGCATAAATAAAATTTATTCCATTTTGCTTGGCTAAATTAATTAATTGTGTTAATTCATTTGATTCTTCATTTGTATATAAATCTCTCCAACGAGATCGATGTTTTGCATCATCTTTTGGAGCATAGACATATGTATTTGAACCACATCTTAAACTTAAACAGCTAATAGTTTATTTTCATTTGCATCATGAGTGAATTGTAATAAAACTGGATCAAGAAGTGAAGCTGACTTTAAATGTGAAAATTTAATTTCATTATATATAGATTCTGAATGATCATAAAATAATGCTCAATCACTTTCTGCATGATTATTAACAAGATCAGTTATAGAAAAAAATTTCCATTTTTTAAACATACAATAAACTAAAATTTTTGTTCATTCATGTATTTCATTAAGTAATGGATTTAATTTTTAATGATCTGTTATGGAATATGATGAATTTAAAATATTCCCAGGTCAAACAATACGGGCCGTTTCCGGTAGGAAAGCACCGGAAATCACTGGAACGTGGAAGCAGTATTCTCACCGGAAATTGACTCTTGGAATCCACCGGAAAAAATCCAATAAATTTCCTGTTGAAATGCTGTTTCCACATCCAGCTATTTTCGGTGCTTTCCTCGCTTCTTTCCTGCGGGATTCGGTAGCCGTAATCTTCGACCTGGATAGTTTAAAGCAACACTGCAAACTTATTTCGCTAAGAATCTTATAATATTTCATGAAAAGACTGCTACCCAATTTCAAGAAAAAAAGTAATTAATATCCATTTCAATGAACACTGCAGTCGGTTGTAAGTTGAATAACTCCAGCTAGGAAACAGCTAAAGATCTGCGGTTTTCAGCATCGGATAGAGGAGAGGTAACTTTATATGGAAATATAAACAAAAATACCATCATACCGGATATCGAGGTCGCCTGCCTGAGAAAACTTTAGCAGACTGCCTAAGCGTCCCAATTCTGCTTAGTATCCGATTTTTCTGATATGGGTTTGATAGTGCAGACGATCGCCTATCATTTGACACCAACCCCAGATTTTTAGCTTGTACCGTTATGGAGTTACAGACATTTTGCTAGCGCCTGCCTAAGCCAACTTTTTTCATGCTGTTTCAGTAAAATTCAATCCCAAATGGGGGTGGTCAAGTATGCTGATCATCCTAGCACTTTTTAGCTTCATCTAGCATTCTCTCCTGATCTATAAAAATGCGAATATCTTCCTACAGCCTGCCTAAGCCAACTTTTTTCATGATGTTTCAATAAAATTCAATCCCAAATGGGGGTAATCAAGTATGCTGATCATCGTGGCAATCTTTAGCTTTATCTAGCATCCTCTCCTGATCCATAAAAATGCGAATATCTTCCTACAGCCTGCCTAAGCCAACTTTTATTATGTTTTTTAAATAAAATTCAATTCCAAATGAAGGTAATCAACCATCCTGATCATTGTGGTAATGTTTATTTTCATCTACTATTCTTTGTTGATCTTGGAAAAATTGATTNGTGCCTTATTGTCGTGAATGTTGCAGCAACTAACGTTCAGTACAGCAAGTGTCTATTTGTGAAGAAAAATATTGCAAAAATGGAAAGCGCTGAAAGGATATATATAACAGTATTAGTTCGTAAGACATCAGCAAAATGTATTGCCCTATAACATCCTTCATCTACTATATACACAGACACTCATAATTCTTAAACTCGATCGTAATTGTATCACAAGCTAAAGTGAAAAATATTTCGACGCTATATTACATTTTAATAAAGTGATTGTTTTTTTTTGCTTCTGTATTTATGGCATTCATATCTTTGATATATGTAGACACTTACTGAACTGGATTTAAGTCAAAATAATATTAACTGGCTGCGAAAACATTTTCCATGGAATGATAGTCGGATCATCTATTGAATTGATTCTTGGTTCGATATTTTATATATTCTTTTATTGTTTTTAAATAAATATTCTCTTTCAATTTTACTTCCAAATATTGTAGAAAAAGTAATGAGTATATAAATAGCTCATGCCAGTATCACAGAGTAACTCAAGAGAGCAGCAACCATAGATATGGTTAAAACGACAATTTCGTCGTGTTCTTCTTATGAAAGCGAGTCTATATAAGGGTGCCAATGCATTTCTTTTCCATAACGAAAATTATTCTTTGATATTGCTCTACGCTACTCTTGATTAAATCCACTCTACGAACCTACGTCTTGTGTGGGTGTTGTTCTTTTCCTAATCTACACCCTACACCCACATCCACACCCTTGAATTTAATTTTCAAGGTCGTCATATATACTCTCACCCACACCCAAGAATTAAAAAAATCGTTTCAACAATTCTTAGGCACAAGATTTCCTTCATTTTGAAATTGTGTGTAACTTCTAAATCATGAGAAATGATTTACTCAAATTTTTATCATGTGCTACTTATACCGCTTTTCTATTTCCTAAAATTTTCATCGACAGCCAACTAACATTCTTCACTTTTAGTTATCGTTCGCTAATCATGATTCATCTCAAATATATATTCATTTTGTTTTCATGTATGACTTACTTGTCATGGGTGGGTGAGTATGAGTGTGGGTACAGGTCTAGACGGGAGGAATATGAAGCAAAGACTTTCATACTAACACCCACACCACACTCTGAAATTTCTATGATCTAACATTTCGAACGAATAACGCGAAATAAATCGACTTCGTATGTATTATTTGGAGATGGCGATTAATATTCTTTTAGATTGTTAGTTCTTTGAAAAAGAATATTTTCGACAAAAATGCCAGTTTTCAAACTTTTTCGATTCAAGAATGAAGAATGCATCTAAAAAATTTAGTCTAAGATAAGTGAAAAACTTGAATTTTATCAGTTGTAAAAGCGTTTTTGGTGATGCTGGGCTTTGGGGTTTCCTCCTCCTCAAATTCCTTCGGGAAAAATATAATGTGAACTATGGTTGGAGATTTCGTCAACTACTTTTGCATTGTAGGTGAGTTTCATATGATCAATGTCTATTGTATGTTCGTTCATCATGAAAAAAAGAGAAAGTTAGACTAGCTAAACGAACAAATATTTAATTAATTTGAATGCAATAATATTTCAGATAATGCAGCACCAATCTTCAGAGTTCATATATGTCACCAATGCAAATTCACATAGATTCATTGCGTGGTAAAAATTTTATTCTAGATATACAGATAGGTTCCAGCTAATAATGTGAGATATCAGACAACGGTACTTCATCGTTCTGAGCTTGTTCAGCAATTCTGGCTGGTTGATTTCGTTTCTTCCATGCAAATAATAATAATGATAGAATACAGATTATTCCAAAGATTAAAAATAATCCAACCAATGATTCAATTTCAATAGCAGTAGATGTTGATGATGAATCAGAACATTTCTTTACTTGAAACCATTTTCTTCTTAAATTATCAAGATTACCTGTTTCTCTTAATGACAAAATATTAACATCTAAATCTTGTCCATATAACCATTGTTTAGGTGTTATAATACCAAATGCACCTTTATCAAAATCTTCACCAATCAATGCCAAATTACAATAGATATTATTCGTTATATATTCTGCAGCACCCGCATCAAGTAAAGATGCGTCAATTATATTATTTAATAAACTGTCATATATTTCTTGTAGAGATTTAAATGGATAATAATTTCGATTACCACCAGAGATTTCTCTTAAATAATATTCTTCCATAGCTGTACCTACTCGAATACCAATACGATTGAATGGTATTTTTCCATTTTTAATGTCATCAATTCCAGAAATAAAATTCTTTGATTTTGATAACGTTAGGTCCGATGCTAAGTTTGCAGTATATGATGCAGTCAATACTAGACATAAGATATATAAACCAGCAGTTAATAAACGTCCAGCAGGTGTTTTAGCATGAAAAGGACCTGCAGCATATCCTATAAGATTGCCAAAAGCATACCAAAAACTAATTGCACATGAATCAATTTTTCGCATTCCCCTTGGTAACCTATTATTTTCTCTCTCTACTAGACAGATTAAAATACTCACTAAAATCATACTACCACAGATCAACAACCAGAGCTTTAATGAGAATGGTTTCATGAATGCAAAGAGATCAAAATCAATGTCGGGAGCTTTTCGCATAATAATATGTAAAGAATTATCAAATAATGAATTTGAAAAACCAATTTTTTCTCTTCTTGTAGCAGTAACTGTCACATCACCTACTATTATATCATAAACACGATCTTGTACTAGTTGTCCTAATGAAGCATAGGTTCGATTCGATGGTATTAATTCAATATTTGGAATAAATTTCATCTTATTTTGTAAAAGATCAATAAAATCAGGTATATAACCAACTAACCTTGTTATATTCTGTCCAAATTCATTTGTTACAGTACTAATCATTGTAAATGGAATTGATTCAATTACACCAATTCGTAATTTAACACCTTCAAGTTTTGCACCACCAGTAGGAGGTATTAACGAATTATCTGACCAGATAATTACATCTCCTGCTGCATTCTCTTGCCAACCATCATGATTAGAATATTTCAATACTGGTACAAAATTTAGTTTATTTGAAAAATTTCGAGAGTTTTGTACATAATAAAAACTACCATCTATTCGATCTGTTACATTAGCATTGAATTGTATGGGACCAGAAACACCAAGAAGTGTCATATTATTAATTGTTTTGAAAAATGATTTGGAATTGAGAAAATGACGATCAAAACAGAATGAAGAATTGATAAATGATATACATGACGAAGATCTATTAGTAATTTTTGAACAAAGTTCTTGTAATGCTTGAATCAATAACCAAGTTGCATCAAATGCAAATAATGCAAAATAATTTACTTTTCCTGAGTTAGGAAACGTTTCAGGTTCATATTGTTTCCAAATATTATAGGCTGCATTTAATAATGTTGTATTAATTGGTGCATCAACAATATTTCCTGGTATAGGTTCAACAGTTAGTATTCCAATTAATTTTTGATTAAATGTTTCATTAAAAGAGTTTAATGAAAAACTTGAAGTTAATATCCATGTGAATTGTGGACCAAGTACATCAGAATCAAGTGCATTTTGTAAAATTAAAGGTGTATAAGTTGACCCAGCCCATAATACAACAATTCGTGTTGAGCTACTAGTTAAAACATTTTTCAAATTATCTCGCATGCGAAGTGTTGCTATATCAAATACTAAAGTATCTGCAACTATCAAATCATTATTAATAAATGATTCAGTCAGTACTTTTGCACCACCAGATCCATATGCATCATTTTGATAAATAATTGTGCATGAAGTCCAATTAAATCGCATAAACAATTTCACAATTGCTGATGCAGCCGCAGTATCTGAAGGAACCGTACGATAAAAGGCAGGATAAGCATTTCGATCAGATAAATCAGGATCTGTTGCAGCATAGGATATAACAGGAATACCGACTCGTTCTCCAAAACCAGCAACAATAGGGCTTTCTCTGGAATATACTGGACCCACAATACCAACAATGTTAGAAGTAGATGCCGCTTGACATGTACTACTCATAGCATTTATTACTTTACCACCAGTTTGTGCAACATTCCATCCTATGAATTGTCCTTCAATCGCTATATTATATTGTTGAGAAAGTATGACTGCTGCTTTGAACATAGCACGAGAATGAATAGCAATTTCGAAAGGCTGAGATGCATTTACTTCATCTGAAAAAATCCCTAGTAGTTGTATGGTGGAAGAGTTTAATAAAGGCCAAGTTGCTTTTACATATTGTCCATTAAATTGTCCGAGTATAAACAGTAAAAACAACCATCGAATATTGCACCATAATATAATCATTATGTGATTTAACCGCAGATAGATTGGTTGAATTGAATGTATGATAAGATAAACTATACTAAAATTTAGACAACATTGGAATAATTAGCTTATCATTATCGATACAAATAGATTAAAAAATACATTTCATATAAAGAAAATAATCTACTATATTTTTTGAGACAAACATAAAAATTTATCATCATATTATTCAGAAACGGGAATGAATTGAAAACTTCTGATTCGGAACTGATCTAACACACTCTTGACAATCGTAAATTGGTTCGATTTCTTTCTAATTTTACAAAAATCAATTCGATTAGATTTGACTAATAAAGATCATAAATGCAAAAATCTAGATATTTCGATATGAGTGTGCACTACGAGCAGACTAACATCTACACTCACACCTTAGCAACAATCTATTTTGGTAATGAGCTAGATTATTTTTAAATCAGAAACAACTGTACCAAAGTTCGTCAACCTCAATAAGACTAATTTCATTTGTAGCATTGCATCTTTATCAATTATCTGATACATGTAGAATGATGAATGACAGAGTCATATAAAGAGTGGAGAGAAGAGAAAAAATGCACAGACAATCTACATTAATGTGATCAATTGAGTCACTGACTGAGATGTTTTTTCTATTGAAAAATAATGATTGAATTTTTTGAAAGTTAAAGTACAAATAGTTTTGGTACTATACAGAAAAAAAATCTTTTTCCTATGAGAAGCATTTATCAGTATGCTCGAATGGTCGTTTTGGAAGTTTGTTTTTTGAATAATAGTGCAGAAATCAACCTCGATCATAGCAGTATTTTGTGTGATTAATAATCTAGTCGAGACAGTTCGTGTTTTTATCATTATACAATGCCTAATAATCTTACGTACAGTCATACTTACATTCTTCTTAATCAGTCTTAATAAAAAGAAGATCGTCTATACTAATGAATATGATACAATTTTGTACGAATAAAATTCTGTAGCTGATGTCATCTCCGATGGATTAATTAATCCAAAATAACTCTTCGAGACTTTAGTAGAAATGATGATATCTATATCGCTCGGAATTCTAATTATGAGTGACATATTTACTTGAATTCTAAGTTAATGGTAACAAAGTGCCTACACACATACCTATTTACTAGTAACTAGGTAAATAAAACTTACTTCTGCTATTAGTGAAGCGAATGTAAAGTATTGCTACTTATTCTAATAGCACTTATACGGTTGGAAATTTACAATTTGCACAAACAACAAATCTCTATCATTTATCATGTGGTTCGATAGAAATATTCATTTTGACATATTGATTGCATCTTACCATTTCGATATGTCTCATACTAATGAGCATGATTCACAAAAAGCTGCTATGTGGTTGGAAATGTCCAACTTACACGAACGATACACATATATGAGACTTTTGTCATAAATTGAGAGGGAGATTTCAGCTTTGTTGGCTTTATCATGTATATTGGTTATTTATGAGTCATAGTTACACAATCAAAATATGATATTTTTGATGAATGTTTGTATAGAGAAATTGTTCGATACACATCACACAGTCGTTATAGTTTGCTCTTATAAAATGGATTGTTTTTTGCATTTAACTGATTTTACACGTTATCTCAACTTAAATTAAGATTGTGTCGCTAATATTTCTGGATAACTAAAAAGAAACTAGCGAAACTCAAATCTCTACTAAAATTCTTCTATGTAAACTTGTAGCCTAGACGATCAGATCTCAAAAGAAGAAAAAAGCACAATTGTTTGTTGTTGTTGTTTTTAGCAAAAAATATGCGTTTTTTGTTTTCAAAGATGTTCAGTTAGTTTTTAAGATAGTGCCATTCGAGAGAGAATGTAAGTTGCCGATTAATAGATCTATATGTTATGATTCAAAGAAACAAGAGATTGCATCAACAAAAATAGTAGAAATGTTAAACAAAATGAAAATTCCAACATTCAGCATTCTTTCATTTTCTTTTTAGTTGAAGTGTTAAAGAAAATCTATCTTAGAAACTTATCTAATCAATCTCTGCTTCTGTTTCGTGGTTGTTGAATTATCATTAATTAAACTGTTAAATAATAAGCGATTCAGCAGTATTACTAATAATCGGCATAAGTGACAAAACCTTCAAAAACAAATCGGGTGGATTTTAATAATAGGAATGGAGTTGTTGTTAAATGAGACAAATTTCAATAATTCAATGTACCTGTTGATACATAGAAAAAAAATAATAGCATACATTTGTATGCTCTTCTACTATTACAATTTTTAACTAATCATGTGTTGTTCAAGTTAGTAGTAGTACTCAGTACGCATTATATAAATATAAGAATGAATCATCGATGTATGGAAAGAGAGAGGAGAAGCGACAGTATGTTACCTCCTATTGAATGATATACATACTTCCAATGAAAACATGTATTGCGCGAGAATGGAGAAAAGAAAAAGAAAAATTTATTAGACTGTACGAAGAAAAACGATTCAAGCAATCTTGTTACACGTTAAAAAAAGTGAAGACAGATTAACAGAGGACATTAGTGCTTATGCCCACTGTTTCTAGTAGTTGTCATCGATCTGCAGGTATTGAAACAGGAGCTTCTCTAACAAAAATTAATTGATAGGTAGAAAAATATATTACATGAAAATGATACATTAATGTCACTCTCTCATTAGTAAAATATTTTTTCTCTTCTCTGCTTGAGCCGAATTTACTTGTGCATTATGTTTGTCATGTAGCATATGTCATACGAAAATAAGCAGACAACTAGGTGAAAAAGGTAGCGTCAAGGGTAACTGGTGAGTTGCATGTAAACACAGTTTCACTCATAAGTGATACATCATTATTGCCTTGCTGCTTCTTTCTGCATTTAGCTCGATTTCGTTTGATTTGACCTACACTGTAAAATCAATATATAAAAGTTTGACGCTCAGAATAAATAAAAGAATATTATCTGTGATTTCAAGTCGATATACCCGACTCCGAATGATATTATGATCAATCTATAGTTTTTCGTTGCTCATTGATTTGTCTTGTGTATTACCTTTCAAGATCTTTTACCGGACTGGTTTTTTCTATGAATGAGTCATGTAAGACTGAGATGGAACGCCATAAGATCTTTTTTCAATTTGCAATTAATCAAGATTTTGATTGTGATTAGGAAAAAAAGCGATCAATTACATTTATATTGACAATTTTGACCATGAAGTGGAAGTCTATGTGACGATATTTGACAAGATGATTCGAAATTAAAATTCATCAATATTCAAAAACTTGACATGTAGTTCATCAAACGAGAAAAGGTAGTGATTTCCCTCTCTCAAATCTTTAATGTTTTATCGATATTGCTGACACGATCGAACCAAACAAACCGAGAGTTATCAGAAATTAGGTCTCCATTCATCGGATGAGTGCAGAAAATAGATTTTTGTTTTCGGTTTATTGTAAATGTCATTGAGGTTTTGGCTTAGACTTGGTTGCTCGTATAGCTGAGTTGAGTTCGATGCGCTTTTTGTTCATTTTTGAAAAACTCCTCGTGCTTCATTTCTTTCCCATGCTCATACAAGCGTTTGGTCGATGTTCGAACAGAAACCTTATCATATGAATGATCGAGAAGTTTTAACAATTATCTTTCATACGATTGAATTGTTTTGTTTTTCCTTTTACTGATAAATGTATTATGCAATAATTCCGGCATCATTGAATATGATCGGTTGCTCGACGAAAAAGGACCAGCCCAAGTAGTTTAAGAAACGGCGTTTAATTGTGATAAACGGTAGGTTTGGTCAATATATTCAGGTTTAAACGGTAGAATGCCGCTTTTTGAACTACCTGAGAGGGTTTTGTTACGAAAATGAAATCTGTGATAGAAATGCTCCCTAACACGAATATAATTTAACCTATCGAAATGATATCAGAAATAGTAATTTGTTATGAAAAAACGGTTTAAACAGCTATTATCGTAAAAAAGATCAGCGTATACGTTAGAATCTACATTTGTACAACACAAAATTAATCTTTTTCGATAAGCAATAAGACTATGCAACAGCATAAGAAAACTCTTTTGAATTCCACAAACAGATTTGATGATATAAAAAGTAGATCAAATATACTGTAATCCCGTTTGATGACTGTCAATAGACTATTGCAAACAATTGTACAACTGAATCAAATTATTTTCCAAGAAAATTTTACTCATGAGCAATGCATGACTTTTGCTCTATTAATCCATGTATTCATAATGAACAACTCTGTCCAGATAATTTTCAGCTACAATCCATAATATTCGTGACAGACAACATCGAATAAAAAACATTACATGTTATAGACCATTGTAGTCTGTTTGTCACACAACTTCATTTAAGACATTCATTTCTAACAATACCACATGAAACTTACTCGAATACGCAGCGAACATCATTATTATGTTTGAATCTCGATTTGAAAAAATATTGTATATTAGGTGTAGTTGCTAGAGATGGACGAAACCACTAAATAGTCACTTCGCCGAGGTGTTCCGACTTGTAAAAAGGTAGTTTGAAAGACGGTTTTTTTTAAAATTTGTCGAGAATTCATGCTAAATACATTCCGTCGCAAATGAGCATGGATTTAGCTATTTGAGCCGTTGTTGAACTTGGCAAAAACAGTTCTTATTATTACCTAGTTTCATCGCAGCAAATTTTTTTCGTGGACGTAAATTTTAATGGAATGGTTTAACTACAAGATACTAATAGATTAAGTTGGATTTTACAGTTCAGTTGAACTTTGAGATGATCATCAAAGCCCTACCTCATTATTTTGGGTTCGACTCATTGTTTCAGTTCTTTCTAATTGCAAGCTCTACTGTGTAATGCATTGGACCATTCAGCGTCTTCTCATCAATATAGGCCCTTTTTACATTTATAGTGCAGGTAATTATTAAAGTAAATAATGTTGCGTAAGAAAAAAAATCAAATATTTATGTCATTCTGCCGAGTTTGGATACGTCGCTAGTTGCAAACAGCTATCCTCGGG